TGGTGGTATTCAGTAGATATTTGAATCTATCCTCCTTACTTTATTACTTTGCATTCTTTTCAAAAAGCTCTATTTATAGTATCACCAATAATGTTACTTTTGCATGTGAAGAATAATGAGATTCTGAAGAATTATGGTATGCCAAGCAAGTAGAACTCAAGTGTCTTGATTGAAGACCTTTCATTTCCATTGAAGAAATAACATGCTAAGTGCTGAGCTAAGTTCTAGGTATATAATGGTAAGAAAATGAAACCAAGTTTCTAGAGCCTAGTAAGAGACACAAATGAATAAATGGGCAATTAGACTCACTTCAGTCATAAGGAAAGTACAAGTTATTTCCTCTGCCATATTATATAATTAGGGAAGGAGGAATAAACTATCTGAATGATTAGGTTATCTATAATTAAATTTATTTTATGAAAAATTGCATTTTTTTGGAGAAGAGTATAATGACAGCAGGTCTTCTCCTTTTCAGTGGTGATACAGATAATTTTATAGTAATTAGTTGTTGCAGAATATGTTGGAACCCCCACTATTTCTGGTATGGGTCAGGCATTGTGCCTGGAGCTGTGGATGCCCTGGCAGATGAGACAGACATGGTCCCTACCTCCCTGGAGCTGACAGCCAAGTTGGGAGACAATCAGGAATCTACTACAGAGATCGTTAGGAACGTGATGGAAAGAGATGATGGAAATAAACAGATACATAAAGAAAGAGGATGAGATGGCCCTCTAAGGGGTGACCAAAGGAGGGATTCTCTGCAGAAGTAGCCTTTAAGCTGAAATCTGAAGGACAAGAAAGACCCAACCCTGCAGTAAATCAGGGAAGAGCAATCCAGGGACTGGGAACTAACAACTTCATAGTCAAAGAATTTTCAAGTGTCCCGGCCCATTCAATGATTGGGGGCTGCATTTATAACAGTGGGGTGGCACTGTTAAAACCGTCTCTAGGATCAATCTCTCTATAGCTGCAGTCCCCTACCCCTGGGCTGCAGACCTGTACTGGTCCCTGGCCTGTTAGGAACCAGGCCACACAGCAGGAGGTGGTGTGTGACAGGCCCTCTGTCAGAGGCAGGGCAGCTGCTCCCAAGGGCCCTGGCCTAACCTTCCCCTGTGGAATCCTCCCAGTCCCAAGTGGAAACAGCCTTTCAGCCGCAGCTGCCTCAGCTCCAGTGGGTCTGTGTGTGGGAGGATCAAGAAGAGAGAGCCCCGAATGCTAGGGAGCTAGTGCCCTACTCCCTTAGTCCTAAGGGGCCTTCTGTCCTGCTTCCCTCTCCTCTCAGCTGGAAGTGGTCCCCACTGATGCCCAAGTTCTGAGAGACCCACAATTCTCCCGGGACCCACTGGCATCCCAAGGCTGTTGTGGTCCAAGTGGGTCTAGGTGACATTGTCTGTGGATCCAGTGACGTAGAGATCTAGGAGCTGAGACTCCTGGGTTGGGACAGCTGCAGAAATCACTGCCTGTCTGTAAAAGGAGGGGAATGAGCCACACCTTTTCCATGCAGAACCCAGGCATAGTGAGCGGAGTGCTATTGGGGTTGTATCCTCCTCGAGCCAAGAACTGGAAAACCTGCGGCTCACCCTTGCCAAAAGCTCGTGCTTGGGGGCAGAGACAGCTATGTCTGCAGCACTGGGTGCTTGGAGGAGGGGAGGTTCCCATCTCTATGTCCCTTCCCGGGCTCTGCTGCTGCTCCTACTCTGGGACGGAAACCCTCTTCTTCTCTGTGGACTCCTTTCTGCACTTGTGTCTCCAATTGGAGAGGTGCAGACAACTTCATATCCTGAGCCTGGGGCTTTCTGGTGCAGAAAAGTGGGCATTCCACCTTCGTCTGTCCTAAAAAGTCTTCATGGCAGTCCTAGTCCCATTCCCTGGGGAGCAGTCCACCCTACAGGTCAGAAATCTGGGAACCCTGCTGCTCTCCTGTGTGTCCCTGTTCCTTTGTGGTTGTCACAGTTTAAGTGGGTGCTGGGGAATGTTCATGTGGGATCCAATGGCAGGGAAACGAGGGGTGTCACTTTCCTGGCAGGATAGAGGAACCTGCATGGTACAGACAGTATGGCACCTGCTGTCTCAGCTTGTTTTAAATTTGATGAAATCTAGCTTGTTAATTCTTTCTTTGATTATACCCTTGGTGTTTTTTTCCCTAAAAAGTCATTGCCTTTCTCAAGGTCATCTAGGTTTTCTCTTATGTTATCTTCTAGGAATTGTATAGTTTTGTATGTTATATTTAGGTCTATGATTCGCTTTTAGTTAATTTTTGTGCTGGGTATAAGGTCAGTGTCTAGATTCATGTTTTTGCATGTAGATGTAAAGTTGTTTTCAACCATTTGTTGAAAAGATTATCTTTGCTCCATTGGATTGCCTTTGATCCTTGGTCAAAGATGAGTTGATTATATTTATTTTGGTCTACTTCTGAGCTTTCTATTCTGTTCCATTGATCTATTTGTCTATTCTTTTTCCAATACCATACTATCTTGATTACTATAGCTTTATAATAAGTATTGAAGTCAGGTAGTGTCAGTCCTTCAACTTTGTTCTTCAGTGTTGTGCTGGCTATTTTGGGTCCTTTGCCTCTTCACATAGACTTTAAAATGAGTTTGTAAATATTCATGAATTAACTTGTTGGGATTTGTTTGGTATTACACTGACACTATAGCTCGAGTTGGGAAGAATGACATCTTGACAATATTGATTCTTCCTATCCAGTGAACATGGAATATCTCTCCATTGTTGTTTTTTTTTTCTTTCTTTCATCAATAGTTTTGTAGTTTTCCTCATATATATCTTGTACATCTTTTATTAGAGTCAAACCTAAGTATTTCATAGGTGGGGGTGCTAATGTAAGTGATGTTGTGTTTTTAATTTCAAATTCCACTTATATATTGCTGGTATCTAGGAAAGCAATTAACTTTTGCATATTAACCTGCATACTGCAACCTTGCTATACTTACTCATTAGTTTCCAGAATTTTTTGTTGTTACTGTTGATTTTTTCAGATTTTTAACATTGATGATCATGTCATCAGCAAACAAAGATAGTTTTATTTTTTCCTTGCCAATCTTTATACTTTTTCTTTTCCTGTCTTGTCTTATTTGTTATTCAAGACTTCCAGCATGATACTGAAAAGGAATGATGAAAATAGACATTATTACCTTGTCCCTGATCTTAGTAGGAAAACTTCAGGTTTCTCACCATTAAATATGTTGCTAGCTATAGATTCTTCATCAAGTTGAGGAAGTTCCCTATTTCTAGTTTACTTACATTTTTTATCATAAATCAGTTTGGGATTTTGTCAAATGCTTTTTCTATATCTATTGATGTGATCCTGTGATTTTTCTTTTTTAGCCTGTTGATATGATGAATTACCTCACTGATTTTTGAATGTTGAACCAACCTTGCATACCTGTGACAAATCTTACTTGGTTGTGGTGTACAATTTATTTTATACATTTTTAGATTTGATTTGCTAATATTTTGCTGAGGATTTTTACATCTATGTTCATGACAGTTATTGTGTACTTTTACAAGTGCCACAAATCCTTTCAGGGAAACAGTCTCCATTCTTTTTTATAGTACTCTTAGTTTTAACTTTGCACTAATATACTTGATAATATTCAGTAAGTCCCGGTTTCTTAATTCCTAATATAGCATCTCGTTTAGTTCTTATGCTAGTCTTATAACATGGAACTCCGCCTGTTATTTTCCTTTCAATAACGTTATCCATTTGTTAACACAGAGATTGGTTACATTGATGCCAGAGAGAAAGGGTATGGAATTTAATATAAATTAAAATATATGTGAGAGACAGTATATGAAAAGAGGAACTAGAAGGTACAAATTATTAGTAGGTATAAATCTGTATTCTCTTTAATATCCATGGATCTTTTTTTCTTTATTTTAGAAACCAGGAAAAAAATTTTCCCAATTATTACAATGTTATTAGCTTCCAACTTTTAGGCTAAGAAACATATTTATTTTCTTTCCTAAACCTAAGTCTTTATGTCTTCCTTTAAAAAATGATAACAACACTAAAATAAGCATTTTATATGGCATAAAAAAGACTCATAAGTATTAATGAAATGTGTCCTCTATTCATATGAAGAATTAAGTAGATAAATTTAATAAGGAGCCTGGAATCTGAGATCATAAATGGCATTTAACCTTGAACTCTAATTTTATATCAGTTTTACTGAAAGAAGCAGGTTAGAAGTAATAAATATTGATTCCATAACATGTTAAATACCTACCACGTTTTAGCCTTAATTTTTAACTGGTTAATATGACTATTCTTGCTTTTTAGGAAGATTTTTATACTCTTTTTTAATGAGGTAGAAATATTCATCATGGATAAATATCATAAAATGGAAAGGATTTATGATAACATTGTAAAATACTCCTATAGCATTTTAGCCTTTCATTTATTGTTTTTTTTATAAAAGTAATTAAATCTAGGATCTTTGGAAATAGCTACAAGAATTTGGACAGATAATTTTTAATGATTATAGGGCTTCAACAGAGGATAATACATTTTTGCTTTGGTGCTCAGGGAATGGAGCTTGTAAAACCCATGCTAATTTTGATAATGGTTGCTACATACTCATTTTCTTGCACACTACTTAAGAAGTGTACCCCAAGGACTCATTTTGAGTAAAATATGAATGAAGCAACTACTCTGGGAGATTTTGAATCCAAACCATGTGTGGCTAAACTCCTCATTTAGTTAACCGAGACATCTGGTATGTCAAAGTAACAAAGCTTCTTATTACAGAATTTTATATACAGTACAGTAAGTAATAAATCTGTTGCTTTAGCTAATGAGAATCTGATTTAATACTTTTCACTGAATAGCACTGTGTATCTAACTTGAGCTTGGTACACACACAAGCACTTTTAATATATTGGTTTCCAGTAATTGTCAGATTTCTTTTTAAAAGTTCAGAAGTATATCTTATAGCATATCTTTATTTTAGGCAGTAATATAATATTAAATGTCATTTTAGATGTTCCTCTTACATATCAAGCAGAAGGAAGTCGGCAAGCTCTGAAAGTTTACTTCTACATTGACAGTTACCATTTTGAACAACTGCCTCAACGGTTGAAAAATGGAGGAGGGTTTAAAATTCATCCTGTTCTTTTTGCACAAGGTAAGCATTTTTTTTTCTTTTTATGCTTCATATATTTAAATTGTTTTACCTTTATTGATTTTTTTATAAATTTAATTTTAACAGCCCAAGTTTTTAAATTAATTTGAAAATTCACTCATAGTATTTGGGTAATATATTTGCTTCTGGGAATGTTTCTTACTGAAAGAATCATGTAGGATTTAAATATTTATCAAATAGGATTGCAGCATTATTTGTAATGGAGAATTAAGATATGAGTGGTTTAAACAAATAAAGATAAATTGGGTTAAACTAGTTTAAATAAGTTAAAATATTGTAGAGCTATTAAAATTGCATGATTAAAATGTTTTATGAGATAGAAAAAGTTTGACAGTACATGCATGCAAAATATAAAAAAGGATTTATATTTTAGTCTCAATTGTTTGTATATATGTATATACTTACATATATGTGTGTTAACTGTTTTCAATATCCTTGGATGGTTAAATTGATACTTTTAAAAATTCTTCATGTCAATTTTTTTGGTCAGGAAATATGTATTCCCTTCTGATCTTTCTTTCAAATAAACAAGTATCAACAACTGCAATAGAAGAAATTAAGATTAGCATAAGCAAGAAAATTCTTGCAGTGAACTAAGTTTCCAAGGGAAGCTCCTGAATCTTTTATTTCTGAAATCATAAAATGCTACCTAGAAAAGATTAAAGTCCAGATTATTTTATGTAGTGTCTTCTAGTCTAGGATTTCTCTCCAGCTCCTAAAAAAATGCAAGCTGTAGGCACAAGATTATACCAATTTTTCTGAATAATACCATAGGGATTTTTTATTTTTTGAGTTTTCAAGAACTACATTGGCTTGGCTGTGGAATTTTAATGTTCTAATAAAAATAAGAAGAGTAGAGGAATGAAATCTATCTATCTAATTGAAGAATGGACAGACATATGAAATCTAAATTCACTACCAATTGAAAATTTTGCTTTGTATCACATGCATATTATTTTAAAACCCTGAATTCTAAGAGATAGATTACCTTTTTTTCAATTGCCATAGTTTAAAAACTGTGACTATCTCAAAATACTTGGCAAGAATACATTTAAGCAGAGTAAAGTTTCAGTTAAGAAATTATTTCAGGAGTTAGTAGAAGATATCTTCATTTCTCTTTGGAGGACTGTGATTTATAGATAGGATCAATGTAGGTAATACAAGATTCTATAATTAAAAGAAAGAAAAACAAAAAGAAACAATAAGCAAAAATAGATCTTTGGAAGTATGTTAGGAGAATTGTTTAACCTAAAGTATGTTAGAAGCCAGTACAGGGATAGGTAATTTGAGAAGATAGGGAAGGATGCTGGTCTGTAATATTAACTTACAGGGTTTAACTAGGCTAGCCTTTCTTTCTTTCTTTCTTTCTTTCTTTCTTTCTTTCTTTCTTTCTTTCTTTCTTTCTTTCTTTCTTTCTTTCTCTTCCCTCCCTCCCTCCTCCCTCCTCCCTCCTCTCTCTCTCTCTCTTCTCTCTCTCTCTTCTTTCCTCTTTCTCTTCTCTCTCTTTCTCTTTCTTTCTCTCTTTCTCTCTCTCTCTTCCTCTTCTTGTCTCTCTTTCTCTCTCTCTCTCTTTTTCTCTCTTTCTCTCTCTCTCTCTCTCTCTCTCCTTTCTCTCTTTCTCTCTCTTCTTCTCTCTTTCTCTCTTTCTCTCTTTCTCTTCCTCTCTCTCTCTCTCTCTCTCTCTCTCTCTCTCTCTCTCTCGTCTCTCTTTCTTTCTTTCTTCTTTCTTTCCTTCTTTCATTTTTTTGAAGACAGAGTCTCACTCTGTCTCCAGGGCTAAAGTATAGTGGCATCATTATAACTTATTACAACTTCAAAGTCATGCGTTCAAGTGATACTCCTCCCTTAGCCTCCCAAGTAGCTGGGACTACAGACATCACACCTGCCCAACTTCTTCTATTTTTATAAATGATGGGCTAAATCTCCTCCACAGGCTGGTCTCAACTCTGAGCTCACACCCCCCCCCCCCCGCCGTCCTCCTGCCTCGGCCTCCCAGAGTGTTAGGATTACAAGCGTGAGCCACTGCGCTTGGGCTTCATTTTTTTTTTTCTTTCTTTCTTTTTTTTAAAAATTTTGACTTTGTGGCTGGGCACAGTGGCTCATACCTGTAATCCTAGCACTCTCGGAGGTGGAGGCAGGAGGATTGCTTGAGGTCAGGAGTTTGAGGTTGCAGTGAGCTATGATGATGCCAGTATACTTTAGCCAGTGTGACAGAGTGAGACTGTCTCAAAAAAGAAAAAAAATGTCTTTGAAATCATTGCTGAGATAACAGATGGCACTAAGAATCTTTGTAAAAAATAAATTATTGCATTGGTGACACATCAGCCATAAATAGCTGAATAATCATAGTCAACAGGAAAAAGATTATTTTATAAGCAACCTCTATTTTAGTTTTGGTAAAAGTCAACTTAAAAGTAATCCCTAAATATGCATCCTTTCAGTGAATATAGTATCATTTTTAAAATGTAATTTAAAGAAAAGTAAACATTAGATTCTAGTATTCTCACAGCAGTAAAATATGAAAAATGATTTAAATAAGCCAGTGGAAGTACTTTTGTACTTAAGGTCATAGATAGGTAAAGAAGATGGGAAATAGTTTGTTTCATTAAAAAATCTCAGGAATAAGGTTGTTTATTGAGGAGGGTGCAGAATTTCATCTACCTTCATAAAACTCCCATGAGGAGTCATTAGTAGCTCTTAGTGTTCATCAGACTGAAAGAAGCACAGGAAATTCAGACCTTGTTTGAGTAGAGATTACCATCTGGTAATTGAAAGTGGTGGTGAATAGAAGAGATTTCAAATGGAGTTGATTCCTAGGATGAAAGTTTATTTGAAAGGTTTTAGTTTTGTGTTTACATGTATACATGGTTCTTTGCTAGCAAATAAAAAATTTAAAAATTGGATGAATTGGAAAATTTCCTGGGAAATTGATTTAAAGTCAGCCTTTCTAAAGTTATCTCTTGTGGTACCATCTGCAAGAGTAGAACTGGAAGCAAATGTATCACCCTCTTCCCATTTTTCCTGCTCCCATGGAGCAGTGGGAAAAGGAGGACACAGTAGTTGATGGTGTGTCCTGCAGAGACAGGACCAACTATTAGATCAGGATTTTCCAGGTTGGAAGTGAGCAGGTGTGGAGGTGAATGTGTATTGCCAAAGGCCAGAGCTGCCGGAGGACAGCCATCTAGGCAGACAAAAGTGATGCAGATTTCCAAGGTAAGGGACACAGAAACAGCCAGACAGGAAAGTCAGCACAGAGCATAACCAAAACACTAGAATGCGACAGTCGCCCTAGAGAAATCTTCTAGTGAATATTCATAAGTGCTTCCTACAGATCAGGGAACTAATGCTGTGGGGATCCCTGAACCATTGGTGAGATAAAGCAAATAACTGTAAATTGGCTGAAAATGGGCATACAAGGAAGATAAATATTCAGGGTCCCTGTCTTCACCTAACTCCCCACTGATCTGCCTCTGTCAGTGGTTCTCAATACTAATTGCACATTAATCATCCTGGAAAGGTTTTAGAAAATACCTGTGCTCTGCCCAACACCAAATCAATAAGACAGGATCTCTGGGAGATGGTCCCCAAAATACCAGGATATTTTAAAAGCTTTCCAGGTGATCGTGGAGTCTACCAGGAGGGAGAAACTACAAGTCTGTGTGGATTATGAAACACTGTGCAATTATCCAGTTAATCTTTGTGTAATTAGACAAATTGATTTCACAAATGTTCAATGTGTCTAGATTCTGGGGAGCTGAGGGAAGGGGCCTGGGAGCAATGTAAAATATTTCTCCATTGTTAGGTCATTAGCATACAGATGGCCCCTAGAAGATGTGACCTTGGGTGGGACAGTTTTCTTCAGCAAAGGCTGAACATGCCTTAGCGAGTGAACAGGGGAGGAATGTCTTGTGCAGCCATCATAGCAGCTGGGCAATGAGCCCATCATTTCTGAAAGGGGATCCAGCCAGCAGCTCTTAGAAAATTCTCTTTGGTCAATGCCATACACCCTCAGATCCATGTCCTTTGGAGGGACCAGGACTCCAGTGGACCTCACTTCTGGGGCTTGAAAGAGGATATCATTTAGGAGAAGAAAATTAAAAACACAAGCTATACCCCCTGCTGCTGCAGCTGGTCTTGGGGCTGGGACAGATTCTCATTTTCCCTCTCCTGCTATCCGTTGTGGATTGGCCTTACCCTCAGCCTGAACCTCTGTTGATATCAGTGGCTAATCTGTGGCATGACCAAGGGCTTCATCCGTAAGAGACTTGGTTCCCTTCTCAGGCCAGAATTGCCACAGCTGTCCATTTACCATCAAATTGGGGCAAGGGAATACTAAGACGGACCCCAGCAGATACCCACGTGCCAAGCATCTTCCTTCTTGCTCTCACAGTGTCACAATAGCCCTGTCCTTCTGGTGACTGGAGTCAACAAGCCTTCCCAAGGTGATGATTGCTCTTCCTGGCTGCTGGTGTCTTGGAAACCCACAGAGCCAGAGTTTGGGGGTGAGAAGAACATGCCCCAGTGAGTCACTGGAACTGATATATTAGTTTCTGAGGGTTGCAGTAACAAATTACCCCCCCATGGGTGGCTCAAAACAATAGACATTTATTCTATCACAGTTCTGAAGGCTAGAATCTGAAATCAAGATGTTGTCAGGGCATTCTCCTGCCAAAGGCTCTAAGGAAGAATCCTTCTCAGCCTCTTCTGGCTTCCGGTGGCTGCCAGCAGTCCGTGGCATTCCTTGGTTTGTGGCAGCATGATTACAATCTCTGCCTCCATCTTTACATGGCCTTCCTCCCTCTGTGTGTGTCATTCTTTGTGTCTCTGTATTCAAATTTCCAACTTCTTATAGGGATACAAATCATTGGATTTGGGCCCATCCTAATTCAGTAGGACCTCATCTTAACTTGATTACATCTGCAAAGACCCTATTTCAAAATAAGGTCACATGGGCAGGCACCAGGAGTTAGGACTTTGTCATA